TATGTTAGAGAGGATACAAATGAGTTTAAAGCCAATTCAATTAGAGGTGCATCTGTTTCCAAAGCTGCTGGAGAAATGTTGTTTATTTTCGCATCACTTTAAAGTCAGCCTCTTGGAATGCACTTGGCACTGTTGTTTAACGCTGTGTGCAGACCTTACACCCACAGCAAATTTATCTTTTGGAAGTGCAACAATCAGGTGGATGCCAATGTCTTCTGTTAGCTTGTAAACCTACTAATCACCTGCTTCTCCCACCACAACCCATTTGTGCATGTAGAGGGGAAGTGGAAGGACACTGCAGCCCCTCGCTGGCTGTGCTGGCATGATACGTACATCTTCTGTAGGTGGCAAAAAATTGTGCTACTGCAAACCTCCTGCCCTGGTGCTGCAGTGCAATCCACAGCCTCTTTGTGCTTCAGCATCACTGATACCTCCCAGCCCATCATCCAGCTGCCTCCTCTTGCCTTGGCTCTGCTGGGCTGCACAGCAAAATTGAGACAGTATAACAGTTTTTGCACCGTGTATTTGTGCCTTAACCTCTGACATTGGAACAGGTCGCCCAGAGATGTGGGTGGCCCATCCCTGGAAGTGTTCAAGGCCAGGTTGGATGGAGCTTGGATCAGCCTGGCCTAGTGGAAGGTGTCCCTGCCCCATGGCAGGAGGGTTGGAACCAGATGATCTTTAAGGTCCCTTCCAAGCCAGAATATTCTGTGATTGTATGGTTCTATGCCACCTGCCAGACCATCATCCTCACATTGTTCATCCACCTGCTATTGCTGTGTCTCTGGCCTGCACAGGAGAAATGAGATGACTAATGGCTGCCACATCATGTCTTTGAGCCTTCCCAGTACATCCTGTGTAATCTGTGGGTGCTTTGTTTAGTATAGACACTTTAGAGAAGAGACTCCATTTGTGGCTTGTTGAGCAACAAGCACATTGTTCTTAACGAATAAATCATAGTAAAATGAGCTGTGCAGCCTAGGTAAATGCATTTGTTCATCCCATTACGTTGACAGTGTCTCAGCAGAAAAAAAAATAGCACTTAAACATAGAAAAGGCTTATTTGATCATCCAGATCAATTTTTCCTGTGAATTGCCAGCAGTATGTTTCAAAGTGCCTACTTAAATATCCCGGTGTTCCTGTCACTACCTCCTGTGACATCTGTGTGTGCAACTCCAGCTCTGTGGTGTTCAGGAGCCTGCTGTTGGTTCAGGTAGGACAGAGGCTCTCATCTCTACAGTCTAAATTAAAAGAGCTTTATTTTAACAGGGTTTGAGATTTTGAGGAATGATAATTTTTTTTAAAAAGAGGTTACAAGAAGCTTCAAGAAATAATGCTAAGAATCGATGGAAAGCAGGCTGAGCAGGGCTGGGGAGAAGAGAACATCTTTTTCTGTAGAAGGTCTTGGAAACTTAGCAGATTTTTGGTATCACGTTCTGCAGAGGAGAGAAAAATGGGGGATGTGATAGATGAGTGAGAAGTTTAAAGATGACACTGACAAAACCAGCTGTGTAAACTCAGCCTTGAGTTAGTCTCCCCAAGATGAGCAAGAGTGGCTCAGAAATGTGTTTGTGCTGTTTCCTTTATTCATATTCTGTTCTGGTAAGACTATTTCTCTGGGTAATAGCCTGAACATAGAATTCTTTATTAATGGATTGTTTTAATAGCATATCTCCCCTGGGTTTTTTTGTTTGTTTTGTATTGTGTACCATGCCAATGCTGCAAGTTTTCTAGGGATGCCAAAACTAGGATTATTGTGGGTCTTTTTAGCCCCCTGACAACAGCAAGTCATTGCTTGGTTCCTGCAGAGAAAAACAAATATCCCATGTTCACAGGCAATGGATGAGCTGAGTACAATGTTATTTACTAGTTATCATAAAAATACAGCCATAAAGGCATTCTCTATCTGAGCAGAGATGGTACACCACAGGAGCATTTTTGGAGGAAAATTTTGGTTGAATGAAGTCTTGGCTCTATTGAGGATCTCAGCCTAGGATTAACCTCAAGTGATTGATAGAAGAATAACAGCAGCCTGTGAGAAGAGGTTGAAGCAAAGTTATGTTCCTATTTTGATTCTGTAGCATTGTTCAGTATGGAGAATTGGCTTAATCTGGGCAGTGTTGGGAATTTAATGATCTGTTCTCTGGTCATTATTTCTTTATACTCAGTGTAGTTTAGAAATATGGGTGAGGAAACTTAAAAATGAATGAGGAATGGCCTCTTAGGAATAGGATGCCTTTTGTGGTTCACTGAGAAATAGCTCACTGCACTTCCTGGTGGTGGAATACAGTAGGTTTCTTTAGTTTTCCTAGTGTCATAGCATAGTTTGTGTTGGAAGGGACCCTTTTAAAGGTCATCATGTCCAACCCCCTGCAATGAGCTAGACCAGGTTGCTCCAAAACTCATCCAACCTGGCCTTGAACATTTCCAGGGATGGAGCAACCACAGCTTCTCTGGACAACCTGTGCCAGTGTCTCACCACTCTCAATGTAAAAAACTTCTTCCTTGTATCTAAAAAGGATTATTTCCATATCTAAGAAAGATTGTTTATTATAACTTTTCCTTCATCTTCCTTATTTTTTTGTATTCTATTTTTTTTGTCTTCCATTTCTTTTTATTGTAGAGGTAGATCTTGAACTGCCAAAAGACTTAGCCCATTTTGCCTTCTCTGATAAGCTGATAACCCCTCTGACTAATCCTACTTTGAAACAAGGCTCTTTCTTTGTTTCTGTTGAGAGTTAATTACCCAGGCTGTCACACAGCCCAAGGAAAAATGATATTTCATACGGTGGTGGAGCAGAACTCTTTGGAGAACTGCCTAAGAAAGAATTCTCATAAATCTATCATGAGGAAATTTCTTTTACTTATCATAATGTATTATGAATTACTTTGAGTGGCAACCTAAGCAGATGGAATAGAATATTAGTGGGATATTTGGGAGTTTTATTTGGGGGGAAAAAAACGAGTCTGTTTTGGAAATAGTTGTATATGTGTGTGCATGGGTGTCATGCAAAGTTGAAGTATCTCAAAGATGCTGCAATGGATTTGGTCAGAAATAATTAAGATACCCAATTCCAGTGGCTGTGGAGCTGCAAATGAAAAGTCACCACGACACACAGGGATCAGAGGTAGCAAAGAAAAGCAGAGCAGACTGTATGGGAACAGGTCTGCAGCTTTAGGGAAGAGTTACAGCATGAGTTACAGGGGAAATGATTGCAGCTGTCAGGCTGCAGGGTGGCCGCCGTAAAGAAAGAGGGAACAGCACCATCACCAAAGATCTGGAGAGGAGAAATAGAGCCTCATTGAACTGAAGGAGGGAACTGCTGTTGCTACTAGCATTTTTTTAAGGCACTGTTTACAAAAGCAACATCAGTATTTCTTGTACTTCTAGAAGGAAGATATTTTCCAGGGGATGGATACCTAAATAAGCCTGAAACCTTTCTTGATACTGATTTCAGCATGAAGAGCAGGAGGAAGGCAGCATATTGCTGCTCTGGGTCGATGCTCAGGCTGTAATGCAGTCCTGGTTTGGAATCAGCAGCAGGTTCAGGCATGGTTGGGCCAGTAAATCCATCTCAGAAACAGAATAATCTCCATGCCTCAGCTTTGGTGTTTTACAGTCATTTGGGGCTGTTGTCTGGGGGTTTTGGACAGCAACTGCTTCTGTGTTGGGTTTTGTTGTTCGGGTGTTTTTTCCCCTCCATGCTGCAGTGACTGTCACCTGGATAGAGTGGGAAAACCCTTCCTAAAAGGGTCATGAAATGAGCTAATTTGGTATTCTGTAGGTAAGGAATAGAGAGGGACTGTTCGTGTGATGAAAACCAAACAGAAAGAAAGGGCATAAAAATGAGCAACATCAGAAATGTGGTAGGGATGAAATTCAGTTATTTCCATGGCCATCATTGCTAGAGCTGTCAGAGGGATGAAGCTGCCTCTAATAAAGGCTGATCTGAGCAGCCACTGGCTTTCATGGTCTAACATGAAATCTCTTTTTTGTCTAAATTAAAATAATACATACAGACATGACAAGCAGATAATAGGAACTGGAGAAGAACGAATGCAGCATGGTAAGCAGGAAGGTACAGGAACTATTCCATGCTGCCAATCCAAGACTGGTGCCAGTAATTCTCTGGAGACTGTGAGAGTTAGGCCACCCTCCACTGCCTTTCTGCACATCAAGAGCTGCACAGCCAGTGCTGGGCTCTGCAAAATCTCTCTTCCCATATGCCAGCTCCTAAAACAGCTGTGGGGTTGTGCCTTTATGGAGGAACCTGTTGGGTTTTAATTCACAAGGTGCTGGTCCTGCAGATGTCTGGTATTGTGATTTTTAAGAGGTGATGGTCTTGTGAGGACTTTCACGTCAAACCACGTTAAGCTGAAAGCAAAGCTTTAAAATGCCGTTTATGAAACACAGAGTAAGCAAAGCTGTTGGAAAGATGTATAAAGAGGACTGTTAGTAAGAGGTAGGAAGCAGGTTTCATTTGCTCCCAAGAAGGAATCCCACACTGCTCCAGCTGGCAGGCAGGTCCCTCACACATCTTGTAAGAGCTGCCAAGAAAAGAGCTGTGTTGCCTCTACCATCCTCTGGTTCTCTGTGCTGGGAAGAAAGCCTCTGTCTGACTCCTGCCCACGCCAGCTCTGGAGGTGCCTGGTGTAATATTAAGACTACAACTGGGCTGTAGACTTAGTTCTGCAGAATTTGTTATGGCCACAGTCTCATAGGCAAGATAATCACCACGTGTTGGTGACCACACAGGTACTTTTGCCAGCATGTGTCCTTTATCACTGCCTTCATTAGACTGAAACAAATAGAAATTACTTTTAGTCACTGCTGTTCTTTGCAAATAATACCATAGCCTCTCGTTGGGATGGTGTTGTCAGTCTGCCAAGTGTCTCCTCTTTAAGAAGTTCTCGTTTTGTGTTGATTGCACAGGTTACATCAGAGGATTGGAATTGATCAGTTGTGGTGATTAAAACCTGTCTTATATTTTTGGTTTAGGTTACATTGAAGAATCTTGCACAGTCCCTTGCCCGTTTGATTGCAAATTAAGCGATTGGTCCAGTTGGTCTCCTTGCAGCTCTTCTTGTGGACCAGGGGTGAAAGTCCGATCCAAGTGGCTTAAGGAGAAGCCATACAATGGAGGTCGTCCCTGCCCAAAGCTGGATCTCAAGAATCAGGTGAGCAGTGTGAAATAGCCAACAGAAATCCCTCTGTGTTTACTCCATTTTGTATTGTGGTCCAAAGGTATTGTACTGGTGAAGAAATTAAAGATAGGAGTTATCTCTGGCACCACACCTTGTGTCACATTTTGTAGGCAATCTTGAACTTCTTGAGGACTGAGGGAGAGATGCTCATGCAACAGCAGAATTTGACCTGAAACACTGTATTTGTTACATGAAGAAATGGTTATCTCCTAGAGCTCAGGAAGCCCTGGATTAATAATCCCACCTGGACAGTGTGTAGACCTCAGAGAGCTCAGATGTCATGGATATTTTAAAAGTTTTTAATTCTTCCTGAGACTGTGATGCTGTAGAAACATTTGTGAAATATACATTGCTATTTTTAGCAACATTTCCCTTCAACACAGCACAAGTTCCCTTGAACATTATTCTCTGTATATTCAATATTGAAGGATCCCATCAGATGAAAATAATCTTTAAACTGCTACTCTTAAAGAAAGATCAGCATCTATTTAAATGCTGCTTAATGCTGTATCCCATTCTGCAATGTGAATAGTGATTTCCTACATTTGCTAATTAATTCTCAGCACTAATTAACACTGATGAAGAACTATTTAGCTTTGCCTGTCCTATATTTCAGATTCAGCCATGAAAATTAATTAATAGGACAGAAACAGTCATGCTGAAGGAAATTCATATGTATGTTATGAATATGTATAAAATATATGGCATGTAGAAGGACTTCAGTGATCTTCATACAAGATTTATTTGTGTGGTGGTTGGTAGGTGCTAGAGCTGGTGGATCCAGTTGTTTTTCTACATCACCATTGTTGCAGTAGTCATGTCCTGGAATGCAGCATCACTTCCAGCTCCTGATTTTGAACTTGCCTCCTTGTCTTCACAGTTAATTATTTTTTTCCTCTGAGAAATTTGGTAAATACTATTTGGTTTTTTTTTTCTTCTTTCTTTTCTTCATTACTATTTGAAATTCATCGGAAGTAGGCTAACAGAAGCAGCAGGGACTATGAAAATATAAAACTGCAATAAAGTGTATGTTGTCCATAGCTCAGTGCTTTTCTTAATAGATCAGACAGATCACCAGAGAGGCAAAGTGAAATCCCACAGTAAGTCATATGGTAACAATAAGCTCCTTTGTAATGAAAAGATACTGGGGTTTGTTACCCATAGACACAGCAGACTCCTTCCATTAAAAGCAAACTTATTGCTATCAAGTGTTGCCTATTCCCACACACATTAGAGCTGCTAGTTTCAAAAGCCTTTCAGAAGATATTAAAGGAAAGAAATTGTTTAAACTTGGAAGTTATGTCTTTGTACAGTTTATCGGTGCACAGTGCTTGCAAAGTGCCGTGGCTGGTATTAATATAAATGTGGTTGGTGCTTTTTGCCTCTTTACCAGGAACACACGTCGTGATCTAAAACCCACTGAATTCATTAGAGGCTTTCTGTTGTGGGCTCTGGTAAAGACACTGTAGAAGTGCTTTAAGGTCTGTTTCTTTAGGTTTGTGACTACACTATTTGTTTTTCAGGGTGTTTTTCTGGCTAGTTTATTTTTATTTTTTTTGGGGGAGGAGGGAGGGATTTGTTTCCTTGCCTGTGAGTTTGGGGTTTCTTTAGGATAGAAACAGAAGCTATTTCCAGCCAGTTTAGGATACAAATGGATTACCTTTTTCCAATTTAGATGTATAGGATTGGATAGATCCTATGGATTTCAAAGCTTTTAGGGTAAGAAGAAATTGTTGTGCTAATAAGTGTGTTTATATACATATGTATGTGCACTTATATACATATATTATGCCCATGATTCTATCCATTGTCTCCCAACACTTCTCAATCCTTTGTGCAGTTCAGAAAAAGTTTTACTCTGCACCCACTGGACTTGGACTTCCAGCCCTGATTTAACACACTGAGGTCCTTGGGCACGTTGCAGCATGCACAAGTTGCCTACCCAGATGGTAAACTAAATTAGCTGATGGCACTGCTGTTTAGCTAAGCTGGACACATGTTGTTAATCCACTGGCAGGCAGAGTGTCTGCTCTTTCCTCTGGTCTGGGTGGTGTTTAAATCCTAGAGCACTTTAGATATAAGTATGTGACATCCTAATTTTTATATAAACTGGGTTAAATACCTGCAGTAAATGCTTGTGTTTGATACCAGACATGAGAAAGCTCATTGGTGCTGAGATTTGGTCTGTCTTTCACGGGCTACTGTGTTGGACTGTGTTTTATGCAGTTGATAAAGACATTAGATAACTTAGGACCAATAATGAATTCCTCCTGGCGCCAGTCGTTTTCATTTACGATTTCCTTATTATTTCCT